TCATGTTCATCAGCCTATGAGGTTGTAGTGGTTGTGTAGATTTCCCAAGCTGGACTTTCCATTTTTATTTCCTCTTGTCAATATGGTGGATAACGGTCATCAATTTGTCCCCATTGACTAATGGAAACTCAAACGAACGTTCCAAAAACAAAATTTTTCAAATAAAATGTTACTGGTGTATACTTTCTCCATCAAATCATCTGCACACCGTTATTACCTTTTGGCATCACTTGTCCTCCCTTTTAGATTTTAAGTTGTCACAGATGCGGCCTTCCTGCCCCTCCTGGATTGATTTAGTATTGTGATTTGTAATGGCTCCCTTGATATTGTAGAGCGCTGCGCTAACTGTTGGCGCTCTATAAATCCTGTATAATATTATTATTAATTAGGTATATCTGCTTTGCACCGTACAATAGGCACACAGCTATACTAATATAAAAATTAATCCTTTTAGAAGTGATGGATCATTTTATAGGTTCAGTTATATTTGCAGATGGGCTTTTAGTAATACTTTTGTAGTATTTCAAGTATTAAAATTAAACATTTACTACTATTTTGGCTTTTATTACTACTGAATAATGTCATAGGTTGTGTTCTGTTTGTAGGCTGGCTTGATGCACTAACATTACACCCGGTTACCCCCAGCTATGGTCAGGTCCAGAAAAACTAATGCCGGATTGCCAGATCGGGGGTAATGTAAACGCACTCATGTTGCTTGACATTTGACTTCCCGTAGACCGACGTTGGGTCTGGCAGTTTTGGTTCTTGCGATGGCTGAAAAAACTGTACAGGCATGGATGTTACAGCAGCATCCAATCTGTGCTTCTCTAATCACCAGGGGATCCCCTCCTGATCAGCCCCTAAAAATGTTCAATTCGCAAACACAAAGTCATCAGGTTGTTGTGTTTTAAAAAAAATATATATTTATATTTAATATCACTTGTTCCTAGGCAGCCTGGCCTCCTGATTGGCTAGGAACAAGTGTAGTTGGCTTCCTAGACAATCAAAAAGCCGGGAGGCAGGGCATAACCCACTGCCCGGCTTCCTGATTGGAAATGAAGCCGGCGTCATGCTCCCTCGGCACTGCCGGTGGTCTATCGAAAGCTCCAACTTGTTGAAAGTCTCCAACTATCTCACTGCCGGGTACTTGTAAGTTGGAGATTTCAACCAGACAGCGATATACTGCAAAACACAATGACTGACTTAGCTCTGTACAGCTGCATTTTAGCAATATTCAGCAGGTGGCAAACTCGGAGTATTCTGAAAACGCTATGTGCGCATGCGCACCCCAGCTGCACAGAGCTCCAGTCTTTCTGAGCACCGGAAGTGAGGTAGTTGGATATTTCGATGAGTTGGAGCTTTCGGTAGAACACCGGTCAGGGGGAGGTCTCCTTCTGACTTGAAGTTCCGGTATCAGTGGTAAGTACCGGAGCAGTTGGGCGAGTACGAGTACTCGCCGAAATATTCAGTATCTGCACCGATACTAGTATCGGTATCAGTGCATCCCTAATACATACAATAAACATTTTAGTTGCTGGAAGACCTATTTCCTCAAAAAGTCTTTTATTTTATCACCCCCTCAGACGTTCCCCTTTTCCTTCTCCTCCATAGACAATCATTGAAATGTTCAGTTATCGCCAACGTGAAGCTGGTGTTATTTTAGGGGTGATGACTAGTGCAGTAATCTTTGTGATGTGACTTTACATTGATTATTTTTTTCATAAGGCCTCATTCACACTGCCGCGCATATGCGCGTATTGTACCATATGCAGCATATGCAACTTTTCTAGCATATACGCAATATACAATTTGCTCTTGCGTTGTGTGTGAACGAGGCCCAAGGGCCAATAAAATAACAGTGTTCTAATAGCACTAAGAGTGTTAATAAACCTTTACATAGGGAGCAGGCTGGATAAGGCATATGCTCCATCTTTGTGAATTGACATTTAAAGTGCAGTTGAAGCCAAAACCTTTTTTTTTTTTTTCTGTTTTGGATGGAGTGGAGAGGAATTAGAACCTCTGTCCCCATTAGCTTCCCTCTTTCTTTGTCCCTGTGACCGTTAAAGTTGCTTAAAGTGAAAAAAAATTCCAAAACTTTGAGTGGCCACCAGAACAGGAATAGACAGGAAATATTCCAATGGGGACACTAGTTCTGGCGACTCGGCTGGCCACTATGGATTTACTTTGTAGGGATTTACTCTCACTTCCTGTTGAGAGTATTTATTCAGAATGGAAAGACACATTGAAGGGAATTGAACAAAACTGGAGCAGAGAAAATCTGGAGCAGCTGTGTATGGCAACCAATCTTCTCTTCTTATTTTCAAATCTTACCTGAGCAAACTGAAGAGAGAAGCCGATTGGTTACCATGGGCAACTACTTCAGATTTTACCTGCTCCAGTTTTGATAAATTCCCCCATTTAAATTTATGAATGTATATAGTACTTGGGGCAGATGAAAACAGCTTTGTGAACTAAGACTGATGTCACACGGGCGACAAAATTGCTGGTGTCATAATCACCAGGAGGCTGCTTGTCTGTGCCCATGGAATCGCTCCTTCGTTGGCCCCAGACGCTGCTGAATCCCTAAGGTCTCGTTCACACCTAGGCGTATTGCATATGCGCGTCTGTCGCACGTTTTTTACCGCGATTCGTGGTAAAAAAAAGTTGCGCGACCGTCGCACGTTTCCGAAGGCTACTTGGCTGTATCCCAATGGAAACGCACAACAAAACGGCCCAAAGTAGTACCTGTACCTTTTCAGGCGTGGGCCGTTTTGTAGCGCGTTTAGGACGGGCGGAAATACGCCAAGGTGGGAACGAGACCATTGAATACAATGGGATTTATATTTTTGAGCGTTTGTCGAGCGTAGAACGCGCTACAAAACGTTCAGGTGTGAACGAGGGCTAACTGTTTGTGATTGGGGAGACCTCAAAAATCGGGTGTATCGGCAGCCCATTTCTAACGAATGTGCTGCCCTAATGTAACGCTCATCAACAAATCCCTAAAGCCTGGTTCACACTGAGCGCTTTGTAGTGCTTTTTCTACCCTAAAAAGCGCTCAAAAAATACGCACCACCAAAAAATCCCATTTATTTCTATGGCCCTGTTCACATCTGAGCGTTTTGTCGCAAGAAAGCAAAACGCCTGACGCTGGAAAAAGTACAGGAGCTTTTTTTTCTGGCATATTACAGCTCGTTTTGGCCCCATAGACTCAATAGGAAACGCTTGAAAACGCCCGTTTGCTGTGTTTTTGCACGTTTTTACGTGGGTTTGCCCATTAACGTCAGTGAGCTACAACCTGCTCGCTAAAACGCCTGATGTGCATGAAAATGCCCAAGAGTCGTGTATCAAAAACGCTGTCGCCTAGGTGAGAACCCAGCCTAAGGCCCCGTTTACACCGGGGAGCTTTGGTCGCTCGGATTTATCCGTGCTGAACCACCGGACATCCCCATACATTCCTATGGGAACCATTGACGCAACCGTGCGACTCCGCACGATTCGAACCGCCCACTGCCCAAAATGCTCCCTGAGCTACTTTGTTTTCCGCTGATCAGCGTGTTTTTCATATAGATTTCAATGGAAACACGCTGATCAGCGCATCTTTGGGCAGTTTTAATTGAGATTAAAAATGCCCAAAAACGCCCTTTCAAAAATCACGCTGAAACGCTTCCGCCTTGGTGTGATTGGGGCCTAAAGTGGTAATCAGCTCTGACCGATGCTCAGCCATTTGATTCTTATATATTTGGTACACTAAAGCTGCCCACATGATGCATTTACCTCCATAAAGCCCCGTTTCGGGCAGCTCCCGGGAAGGACAGGTTCTGCGTGTGATTAGTACGCAGCCCCTGTCTTTCCCTATGGGCGTACGCGGCCATACGTCCGTGCGGGTGTCCGTACTCGTACGCTGACAGGATGGACACTGTCTGCGTCCGAGCCAGGACACCAGCACCCGTACGGACCTGCACTTAAGGTGAGCGTAGGGGGGCGTACGGCTGCATACTCCCATAGAGGAGGACAGGGGCTGCGTACTAATCACACACAGAACCTGCCCTTCCCGGCAGCTGCCCCATATGGTCGTGCACACAGCACGGAGCTGTACGTCCCGTCCTTTCCTCGTGTGAATGAGGCCTTAATGTTTTGAACCGACTCCTTCAACAGAAGTCAATTGAAAATTTGACTTTTGTCAAATGGAGTGGTGCCGACTGGGCACACGCTGGTCAAATTTTGGCCGAGCCAGTAGCCTGTGGCCGGAATTGGACCAGTGCATGGGCCTGCGAGTGTTCTATGGGCAACTGGAATGCACATCTCCTCCTTGCAGTGCTTTTTTTTTTCTCTTCTACATTAGTACGTATCCCAGTATTGTTTTATCAAAAGACAGAAAGCTCCTTCCTAAATTCTTTGGCTGCAAAGTGGGTGGAAGGGTTAAGGGATTCCTCCGTGGCTGCTCTCAGCAGACATCCCTCCCCCATTCACATTACCTGGCAGAGATTATGCCGCTGCCTTCTGGCAGCCAGACAGCTGCTTTGTTGTGCTGGGTGCCTGGCCTGAGTTGTATGAAGGCAGAGGAATGACAGGGAGGTGCGATAAGTCTCGGCGCCCCTCCTCTCCGCACGGCAGTCCTGTGTGTGTCCTTTTCTTGTGTGGGAAGATTTGGCTACAGCTGCCGGTGATTCTGCCTCTGGAGCACACGTCCAGGCTGGAAAGCTGCGATTGGAGTTTTCCGTTTTATATTGCATGTAGTAAAAAATACCCGTGCGTTTATTTGCTGGTGATCTGCCAGCTAGGATATTGAGCAGGATGAGGAAGGAGCATCAGAACTGTGCAGGATAAGTAGGAGCTCTGCTGACACAAGGTGAAGGTGGATGGGACCTGTGATTGTGTAGCAGACCTCTCTTTGTATTAAATAAAACACTCTCTTGGTATGTGTGCGATCCAATCGTATTCGTTTGCAATGTGCTCTGTGCTAACATCTTTTATACTAACTTTGCGTGTTTGTCTCACAGCTTGTTATGGCATCGTGCAAGTGCCAACCGGGCCGTGGTTTTGTCGAAAATGTGAATCTCAGGAAAGAGCAGCCAGAGTGGTGAGTCCTATGATAGTTGCTGTTGCGGTCCGCCATCTTTCATTAACAAGCCGTTACCGTAGACTGTTTGGGATACATTTGAGAAGCTTTTTTTTAATGCAGTTTAAATGGGAAAGTGCGCACCAATATACCAAAAATCATGCATGCGTTATCTCAGCAAGGTCCGTCCGGTGTGAACGAGGACTATTAACTCAGTCCAGGAAATTGCACTCTGGTGTGACTGAGTAACAGTTATTCCTCGTATTGTAGGTAGCACCTATCTCACAGAACTTTGTAGAACGCCTCGGGGGAGCTTACAGTCTTAATGTTTGTATCATCGTAGTAGAAGGTGCGCACAGTCACCAGCATTACAGCCAGAACGCATGGAACAGCAGTTTGCTGTGTCTGAGAAAACTAGCGTACACAGAACATACAGTTCTCATGTAGAGTAAACCCTGTTGGTGCTTGAACCCAGTGCCTGATTGCTGTTTATAACCTGTGTTGTCCCATGATGCCTATGCAAGTTTAGCCTAAAACCCATTAGCCCAGCCCCCTAATCTTACTAAGACCCCTCCCCCCTCCATGCATCCAGACAGGTGGCCACCTCTGGTGTTTATAACTTTGGGCCTGAAATCTTCTATGGTACCAGCAGAACCCCCCCATGGACTTGAATAGGAACGTACTGCAATGCCAGATATGTTATAGGTATGCACTCATTCAGGTCTATGGGAATTACTATGGGAACAGCTAGCACTGGAGAAGATTGCATGCTTGACAATGTAAATGCCAGAGGAGGCCACCACTGTCTTAGAGAGGCAAGTAAGAACGTGGGTGTAGGCTGGGGATTCTAGATTGGATTTGATTAGATCAGGGGTGGGCAACTCCGGCCCTCCAGCTGTTGTGGAACTACAAGTCCCATGGGATATTGCAAGACTGACAAGATACAGGCATGACTACCAGAGGCAGAGGCATGTGTGGATTTGTATTTAAAGCACAGATGGAGGGCCGGTGTTGCCAATCCCTGGGTTAGATGGATGGATGGGGAGGGTGGGCTAATGTGTTCAGGTTGGAAGTGAACTTACCCTTTAATCCTTTCGCTGACATGTGGGGCAGCAGGCCCCTTTAAACAGACTCCCAGCAGCTATAGCTGCCATACGTGCCATGGTGCTGCACATGTTATCAGCTATGACACCGGCCATTTGAGGGCTTGAAAAGATTGTGACATAAGCACAATGGCACTGTGACCGTTGTCACCAGAGGCATGCCCTAAATGTAACATACGCTGCCCATGTGCTGGTAGGCATGATGTAAATGAACACACTGCAGAAAATTAATATTGGTATGTTTAATACGGATTTATTAAACATTTCTAACCTGAGCTTTCTTTTGGGTAACCATTGAAGGGGGTGGGATAAGTTCTGATTTAAGAGCTTTTTCGAGGGTATGTGTGAATGAAGTCTTTGATGAAAGCTGCCACGCTGGGACTCGCTAACCACATTTCTGGGGACAGCAAAAGTAAACCTTTTCATGTTCATCGCGGGTTATGCCACTTCTCTAGAATGTGCATGCAACCAGGGATTCAGAGAATGGCAACTTCTATCCAAGGGTCCTCACGCACGTATTGAATATATGCTCTGACTTGTGAAGTGTCCTACCAGAAACATTCATTTGCTTGCAGCTATTGGGGCAGTCATCAGCTGTCTAAGCAATGAAAACTATGCAGATTCTCATAGATGGAGCTGTACCTGGTTTCTGTATGGCAAAAGGCACATTTTGTAAACCCGGGCAGGGCACTCCTTACCATCTTGTCTTGAATTGTATTGTGATTGTAATGTCTTCCTTATATTGTAAAGCGCTGCACAAACTGTTGGCGCTATATCCATTCTGTATACAGTAATAATAATAAAAAAACCTTTACACACAATGGACCACTATAGATAATACTGTTTGCAAAGAGTAGTATTTAGCTACCCTGACTGCTAATAACGACTTTGCCAAAAAAAGTTTTAAGGTGGAGTTGCCTTTTAAAATATCGGTGCAGCATCAGAGGAGTGGTATGTGCTATTGCCTCCTCTGCTGTAGGAAGGGGTGCAGCCATATTGATTTCTGGCTTCATGTTGTGGGGAAAGCTTCCTGTAGTACTGGATTGGAGCTGAGCTCCTTCCTCACACTGCCTATATCTTTTGTCTGGATCTGGCGATCTGCTGCATTGGGGGTTTATGAGACCTATGCTGGTTGCATGAGTAGAGCTATCAATGGCTGTAGTTCACCATCTGCTTTGTACAGTATCATCTATTTGGGGCCTGCTAGTCCTGTAAAAAGGCCTCATCATAGTAGCACTATGAGCTGCCTGGTGTGAAACAAAATGGAGACCAGGGTCATGTGACTTTCTCTAGTAATTTTTCTTTGCAAGTTACCTTCCTTTTTTTCACCTGGTCCTCACAGTTCTACCCGTCACACCTTTCTCATCCTAACCTCCCAGCACTGCCAACAGTAACCAGAAGTGCCCGGAGTTTAATCTGAACCGTACAGACCCCCCCCAGTCACATACCTATGCAGCATATTAACATATCCTTATTCTTGTATAGGAAAGAGGTGATTAGAATATTTGTATGTTTGTATCGAATTGAGCTAAATGCATATAATTAAATTTCTTCTTGTGTTTTCCTCCTCAGAGATGTGAATTATGTCCCCATAAGGATGGCGCTCTAAAGCGTACTGATAATGGGGGTAAGTGCAGCTTTTACTTGTTGATTTATCATATGCACTGTATGTTGCTTGTAAGGGATGCATTAAGTTTGGTTTAGATATTGCCGTATAACATGTCAGTTGATCATAAATCAAAGGCAGATTCTTGTTCTCTTTATTCCCCCCCCCCCCCACTATTTTGCTTATATAAAAGCGAA